TCGGGCCTGGGCTAGGACTGGATCTCTCAGTAGTTTTTAATGTCCTTCCTAGTTGAGTCTTTTTTAGGAAAACCATTTCATTCCTGTGTTGGGAATTCATGACTTCTGTCACTTTCCTAAGTGCCTCTTTTTTTAAAAAAAAAATGTGTGTCTGCTCTGGATTAATAGTTCCTTCATTATAGTCATGGTCTCTTTAATTATTTGTGAAATTGTTTCTATTTTGTTTTATTTTTAGAGGCTCATTTACCTGCTTTGTTACTTCTCCTTCTCCTTTTCAGAATGTTCACCTGGGTGGCTTTTGATTTCTTCCACGTCTGGGGTTGCGTCTTACTTTGGTGTTCTTTTTTTTTTTTTTTTCTTTGTTTGGTTTTTCTGTGTTGATGCTTGTAAATTGCTTAGGTAGGTAGGTTTATTACTAGCATTGAGATTTCTTGAAGTGACTGCTTTTCAGAGGTGTCTTCTAGGCATGCCTGCCTCTTGGCCTTTGAGTCAGTCCCAGGATCTTGCCCCCTTGGTTTACTAGGGATGAGAGGTCCCAGCCTGTCTGGCCTGGCACCCAGTTCTTCGTTACTAGATTGTAGCATTATTTGTGTTCCTCAGACAGTCTAGGTGCTGGCATGCAAAGAAAATCAGCTAATCGTAGTGACTGTGTCAGCTTGAGTAAAGCAGTACACTTGGCAGTACCAGTAGCATTGAGCACAGACCGAAAAGTGACAAATTGGAAAGTGACAAATTGTAATAACTAATAATTTGCTACATTTCACTCTATGTACCAGATTTAAAGTTATCAGACCATGGATATAGCTCAGCAGCTCAGCACGTATCTTGTAGTGGCAAGTCCTGAGTTCGATTCTCAGTACAAAAAAAAAAAAAGATGCGTAGTTATATAATAAGAGCTAAGACAGATCAGAAGATTAGCAGTAAATAGGAGCTCAATAGAGCAGTTTTACCCTAATGGGAGAAAATTAAAAGAAAGAAGAGGAAAAACCAGAAAAATAAAAGAAAGAAAGATTAGAAGTAAGACTAAAAGACAGAGAAAGATTACCCAAGCTTCAGGAAACCGGTGAAGAAGACAGGAGGGGGAAAGAGAGAATGAGATGAGGAACCACACCAGGTGAACTATAGGCAGGGTTCCTTCACAAGGAAAAGAAGCAATAGGAGGGGAAAAAACCCTGTAAATAAAAATAAAACAAAACAAAAAGCAAAGGAAAAAGAAAAAAAGAAGGAATGTCTATGATATTTTCTTTTTTTTCCCCAGGGGGTGCCAGGGATCAGACATTTGCCAGGTAGGCACTTATGCCGCTGAACTGTATCCCTGGCCCCCATCCCTGTGATTTTAAGCCCGTGTTTATCTTCTGGGGTCTATAGTTTGTGGCAGTGTCTGATTCAAGGTGTAACTCTGCTCTTGCTAGGAGACTTGGGGGGCAGTCAGAGGCCAGGTTGGTGCTGGATAATCCCAGCGAGTGAGCAGTAAGATTAGGGGGGTAGTGCGGGTTCTGAAAATTTCAAATCCATGCAAATTGAGCAAAACTGATGTGTGCGTGTAGGCTGAGCTTTGAATGCTTGAGGTGGCTTTCACCAGCTTGTCCACAGGTCCCTGACCACAGACAGCTCCTGTGATTGTCCGTCACCCAGGCACTGTGGGAGTTTAACACTGGAGTCCTGAGACGAAGCCAGCCATGGCTGCTCCGAGACCCAGGCTTGGCGGGCCCCTCCCTGAAATGGTGTCTGCCCACACGTGCTTTGCAGAGGACACAGCCGTCCTTTGGGGTCACGCCCTACCCACCGCTCCATTCCGCTGGTGTGTTTCCCGGGACGCCTGTAGGGTCACCTGCTTTCACTGCGTTCGCTGTGGATTCAGTCTGCCTTTCTCGCACCGTGAGCCAGGACTGGGGAGACAGTGCAGGCTTCCCTTCCTTCTGCTGTGCTGTGTTCTTTAGCTTCTTTCCCTTGGCTCTGTCCCGGACCCCAGTGGCCCGCTTCGCTGCTACTTTCCTCCCTAAGTTACTCTTTCTCAGTGTCCCTATCCAAGTGTTGGGGCGGCTGATTGGCTGCTGCTCACCACGCCCCCATCTTCCCAGCCACTCTCTGGCCCAGCGTCCCTCTCGTTACTCAGATTCTGTGCACGCTTAACTGTTTGCTGTGTGACAGATCTTTTACATGTTGCTGTCCTTATAGTCCCTTACATTTTGTTTGTCTCATTGTGTTCCTCTCTATTTTGTTGGTGCCTACACCAGTGTAATTTTCTTCATTCTTCACCTTGGCCTCACCTGGAGGCCAAAACTGGAGACACATGCTTGGAAGTCTGAGTGCCCAGCATGGCTTTTTTATTCATGCACCCAGTATACTGGATGACTGTAGTGGGGCTGCACAGCCAGCGATAAATGGCACAAAGAGCCTGGAAAGAGGAGAGCTGGGCACTGTGGAAACTTCAAAAAACGGGATTTGACTCTTAAAATTTCAAGTTAAACTGGGTGGAATGGTACACACCTGTAATCTCAGCACCCTGGGAGGCTGAGGTGGTAGTTTTAAAAAAAGAAAAACATTTAAGTTAAAAAAAAAGTTAAAATCTGAATGATAAGTGGTTTTTTTAAGTCATTGGCTGTAGGGATAAGAATTTTTTTCTATTTATTATTATTATTATTATTACTTTTGTGCAGGGTCTTACTATGCAGCTTGGTCTCCTAGTGATCCTCCTGTTTTCAGCCTCCCCAGCCCTGACATTACAGGCCCGCGCCACTACGCCCAGACTCGATTGGCTCAGTGTGCCCGGGGGTGGGGCCAATGCGGCATGTGGTATGGGAGATCGAACCCAGGTCCCTGCCCTTGCCTAAGCAGGCGCTTAGTCCACTGAGCTATCTTGCTGGCCTTTTTTCTATCTTAAATTCTGGCTCTGAAGTCACTGTCCATGTGGTTTTTAGTAAATCCCTTGACTTGTGCCGCTCAGGGTTTTGAAGCTGAGCTGTACAATCGCAGCCAGTGGAGAGGGCCTGTGGGTCTCTGCGTCGCGATTACCCTTCTCTCTCTTGAGTGTCTCCAACCCTGGTTCACGTTTATTTCCAGATGACACTGCAGATTATGCCGAGAGGTACATGGAGGAAAATGAGGGCTACTTAGAAGGCCATGATTTCGCCTCAGCCAGCGGTCCCCGGATCAGAAAGCATTTTCCGGAGACTTGGATTTGGCTAGACACGCACATGGGGTAAACAGTTACATAAACTTGGTCCATGTGCATTTTGCTTTATTGTATGTTTTAAGTAAAGTTTGCACTCTGTTTAATGCTTAAGTACAAATATAGTGTAATGAAAAACTCAGTCAGCCAGGAAGTTTTTGTTAGAATCGTGTTGACTAAATCTAGTTACACTATTTAATAAACTCACAGCAGCTTGTAGCTGCAGAGTATCCTCAAGGAAAAGGGAGTGTTTTAAAAAAGGATGATTCTAATTTCCTTAACGTCTCATGGTTGCAGAAAAATGGCTGCGTGTACACCTGTGGCCGTGAGAGGGGAATGTCCCCGCCACTCAGGGCCTGTGGGTGGGGTGGCTGGTGGAAAGCGGCCCTCTGAGGAGCCAGTGAGTGCCGGGGGAGGGGGCGTGTGGGAGGAGCTCAGCCTGGCCAGCCGCCCTGGGCCCTGGCAGCTCCCCCTGAGCCGTGGAGTTCAGATGGCTGAGGGCGCAGCTCAGGACGTGCTCAGATGTGTGAGCTCTGGGCTCAATCCCCAGTACTGAAAACAAAGGCAAAAAATAAAACTTGGAAATCTAGATAGTATCTTATAGTCAGACTTTACAGAATATTTTAAACCAGACATGAATCAAATCTCAGACAACCACTACTAAAAAAAAGTCAGCATTGTCAGAGATAGAGAAAAAAATTAAAGTTTAGAAATATTTTGGGGCCAGGGCTGTAGCTCAGCAGCACAGTACCTGCCTGGCAAGCATGAGGTCCTGACTTCACTTCCCTTTCCAAAAAGAAAAAGAAATGCATATTTTTTCTCCGTTCAAAATTTATGAAAATACAGTGGTCATTCTGCAGATATAAACCATTGTAGAAAGATTTTAAGGAAAAAGGATATTATTATGACTTAGTTTATGGAACTTGGAATCTACTTCTTTGTGCTAAAATACTCTTAAATTTAGACATATAAATGATATAAAGAATTAAAATTCTTCTCAAAAGGTTGGTTATATTGATCTCTCTTGAAATGTGTTCATTCTTGGTTTTGTGACTTCTATGTTTGTGTTCCCTTCAGATCCAAAATTTACCAAGAGTTTGAAGTTACTGTGCCAGATTCCATCACTTCCTGGGTGGCTACTGCCTTTGTGATCTCTGAAGACCTCGGGCTTGGCCTCACAGCGGCTCCTGTGGAGGTAGCCTTCTGAGGGCTTCACCTTAATGTCGCAGTACCGCAGCGGAGGATTTCAGCTACTCAGTAGAGTTTTAAAAAATGATTGCTTGTGATGATAGCGTAGTTTAAAGATTTGCCGGCTTTGCCTTTCTGCTTTCCTTCCGTGTGAATTTTAGAGTGTCAGCTGTGTTCGGTTACTTGGTGTGCTAGGCCCCCGCTGAGATTTGGGTGGAAAAGCTTATTATCAGGCTCATCTAGCAACTTCCAGTGGTGGGAAAAGGGAAAGAGTGTCTCCATGTGTCCCTCAAGGGTGAGCAGAGCTTTTCAAGATGTCCCCTAGTGTGTAGGGTTCCTTTATACCTCTGTGGTCAAATCGTTTTTTAAAAAAAATCATTTTTTTCCTAGTTACTAAGAGGAGTAAAAATGAGGATGTGTAGCTCACACCAACGTGGTCAGTCCTGATGCATGGTATCTGAAGCCTCTTATGTGTAACAGTCTGCTACCCCAAGTCCCAAAATGAAATTCATGCATACATGCCTACCTACATGGTTTCAAAAAATTAATATGATGTCTTAAGTGAAGTACTAAGGAGAAATAACAGGAGAGCAATATGTGGTGACATAAGAGGTATTTCAGGATGTAAGTCGTCAGGAAGCTTCCGGGTTACGCTGGGCTGGCCACGCTGCATGGAATGGTTGTGAATGCAGTTTATGTGCATGTGTCTAATTCGGCACCTCAAAGCCCACTGCTGGTGGTGGTGTAGATTTCTGAGATAGTGAGCAACTTTTGGTAAAGTTACATACAAACCAAGGTGCAATGTTCTTTTGATCTACAAAATTTTATCTGTGAAAAATTCGTTGCATGTTGAATAATGCTTTGGATTTTTATATAAATTGGAATTGTCTTCTAAACTCAGAGGATTTTAAATAGGTACTTACCCATGCAAATGCCTGCGTTCAGGAATCATGCAGAACACGAGGCAGTTCTTCACTGATTTGGATTCCTGAGCATGGTATAACTTCACCACCAGGTGCCAGTAACACCCTCCCATATTTGTGACAGTCCAAGACACCTTCATGAATGTCCAAATAAGTCTTGGGGAAGTTATTGCCACCAATGGTACCATTGGCTTAAACCAGTCCAGGTTAGCTGCAGAGCTAGAGGATGGGTTGAGTATGAGAAATGGATCACCAAGGAGGAGGGGTGTGTGTGTGTGTGTGTGTGTGTGTGTGCACATGTCAGTATGGAAGAGATCTCCAAACTTTAGTTTTTCTTGTTGTAAAATAAAATAGGACAGTAGCACCTTTATATGGTTGTGATGATTAAGTGATGCAATTTATGATATACTTAGTTCCTGGTAGGTGGTTAGTAATGTGTGGTGGTTATTATGTTGGATAACGCAGGTTAGTTCAGTTTGCTGTCGTTTGTTTGGGGCCACTTGTTGCATGCTTCCTGTCAGCAGATGAGGAGCCCTGAGTAGGTGCACTTACCAGCTCTGGGGACTTTGTGAGGGTCGCTTTAATTATGTGTAACGTGAAGCATTTTGGCTAGATAAAAATCTGCACTCACTGTATTCTTTCCAGCTCCAAGCCTTCCAACCATTCTTCATTTTTTTGAATCTTCCCTACTCTGTTATCAGAGGTGAAGAATTTGCTGTGGAAGTAACCATATTCAATTATTTGAAAGATGCGGCTGAGGTAATATATTCAAGATTTTGTCGATTGTTTACACTTCAGGAGAGGACATGAAATATTTGGGCATCTAAGCATGCTACAAAAAATATTTTGAGAAGCAGATGAAAAAATAAGTTGAAAAACAGTTTGTAAAGTACAAGAGCTAGAAATTGCTACTTTATGAGACCAGCAAGTTGGCACGTTTTAGGATGAACGTCTGAGCGACACTCTTCTTGGGATAAGTTTTGCAGAAGTTTTTTTTTTTTTTTTTAATGTATTTGGCTCAGGGTCTCACTATGCAGCTTGGACTCGTAGTGATCCTCCTGCTTTCAGCCTCCCCAGCACTGGGTCTACTGGCATGGGTCACCACACCCAGTCTCTGTAGCTGGCTCAGTGCGCCTGTGGGCAGGGCTGGTGCAGTCATGCCAGGGATCGAACTTCAGTCCCTGCGCTTGCCTAGGCAGGGCTTAGTCTGTCGAGCTATCTCATGGGCCCTTTGTGGAGACTCTTACTGGAGGTGGAAACACATACCCTGTTTGCCTTATGCTTTTCTAATGGGGCTGGGGTTTCCTGGGATGTCATGGTGTAATAACTTTTTTGTAACAACCTGATTACTCTTTGGCATAAGGAGAGAACTTAATGATAGAAAGGACTAGAATTGAAGCTAAAGAGTTTCTTTCCCCAGTTATATAGAGGTGGGAGGGGAAGGCGTAGGAAATAAATGAAGGTTTTCTTGATACCCCTTCATTATCTCCTTAGCTGAATATTTGTCTCATCTTTTCTGATTTTGAGTCTTACAAATTTAATGTGATAAGACTATACTTTAGCAAAGAACATTTATTATCACAAAATCTTGGTACTTTTTCTTCTAGGTTAAGGTAATCATTGAAGAAAGTGACAGATTTGATATTCTAACGACTTCAAAGGAAATCAGCGCCACAGGACACCAGCAGGAGGTTCTAGTTCCCAGCGAAGATGGCGCAACTGCTGTTTTCCCTGTCAGGCCCACACATCTGGGAGAGATCCCGATCACAGTCAGAGCCATCTCACCCCTGGCTTCTGATGCTGTCACCCGGAGGATTTTAGTAAAGGTAAATATTTGGAGTCTTAAATAAAATGGAAATATGTAATTGAAAATCAAACAAGCTATTTTTTCTCTCAGTTAAATTTGTTGGCAAACCTAGTAGGTCATCTCCTCAGTCCTCTTGGTTATGCCTAATTGTTCTCCCATCTGTGTATAAAAACATGACACATGTGCTTTAGAAGTTCTCCTTTACAAACAGAAGCAGAAACGCAGCTATCAAGTCTCTTTTACATCTACACGCTGTGTGATTTGGATCTTGTTGAATCATGGTTAGGCTGATCAGTAGCCTGGGAATTTTGGAGTTCCTCAGTGCAGGGTGTAGAGATTTTGTAGACTTCTGGGAAGTATTAAAAAAGAAAACTCAGCGTTGTGGGTGAGGGCTTGAGTCTGGGCTCACATAGCCCTGGGTTTGAACTCTGCTGTATTAAATGTAAATTGGAGTATGATACATCTTCTCTTGGATAACAATGAAATCTGCCTCAGAAGAGTTCCCCATCTCATTTGATCATCTCCTTTGTCATTTCCTCTGCTATTTCATGAAATGTTTTGTCTAATTACATAAATTTGAAGTCAGAATCAAGACATTCTAGGTACACATCTAGCTATTCTCAAACTACAGATACAGTAGACCCAGTGTCTGTCTTTATGTCCACACACAGTTCTCTGTAAAGAAGCTGAGACCATGCTAATTTTGTCGTTGTTTTTTTTTTTTTTTTAATAGGCTGAAGGAATAGAAAAGTCATATTCACAGGCTGTCTTGTTAGACCTGACTAAAAAAGCAACGACTGTGGAAACTTTGGGTTTCTCGTTTCCCCCCGACACGGTCAGCGGCAGCGAACGAGTCCAGATCACCGCGGTGGGTAAGCGAGCATCTCCGTTTGTTGCTCAGCTATTTACAGGTGTATCTTCTTATTTATTACTAATGAGAAGAGATTATGCCAGCTGTTGATTGTAATAGAATAGGGAGTTTTGCCCCTGGGGTTCTGCATTTCTTATGGTGGTTCTGATAAACAAGGCTGAGAATGGCTGCCTGGAGCAGTTCTTCGTGAGGACACAGAGACCATCCCAGCAGGAAGCTGCCCACCAATTTGGTCACTTTTCCTAGAACCTATCAGGAGCTTAAAACTTCTTTTGAATTAAACATCACTGAAGTCAGTCCTCCAGAGAAATGCACCAGCAGGACGTGTGCGGGGGAGGCTTATAATGAGGGATGTGCTCATGTCCTCATGGAGGCCGGGCGGCCCCACGAGGGCCAGCTGCCCGCTGCAGGGCCAGGCCATGTGCTGAGGTGCTAGGCGTGCTGAGGAGCTAGGCGTGCTGAGGAGCTAGGCGTGCTGAGGTGCTAGGCGTGCTGAGGAGCTAGGCGTGCTGAGGTGCTAGGCGTGGGGCCCCGCCCCGGAGCTGGGGGAGCCGTGGTGTGGACCCCAGATGTGGTGTTCAGATCTCAGTGTGAGCCGGGAAGAAGGGCAGGCATCATCCTTCTGTGTGCGGCTGCCCTCCCTGGCTTGGTGAGGTCTGTCCCTTCGCTTTCATTAGACCAGGGACTCAGATACTTAGCTCTTCTGGAACCTGTGAAGACACGTCCAGAAAAAGCATCCGTCGGGTTCATTGGAGCACTTTGTGGCCTACTCAAGCTGACATGGAAAATTAGCTGTCACAACAGTTTTTTTTAAAAAAATAGAATTGTACTTTACAAATAACTGGAGAAGATTTAATTAATGACATCAATAAGATATTAAGACCTATGGACTATACAGAGTTTCTTTCAATTTTAATTTTTATTAATGTGCACTGGCAGCACATGGTGACTGCGTGTGTTGCATATTCGGTGCATTTCAGTCTCACCTGTGTGACATGCAGTGCTTTTCACGCTCGTCGCGAAGAAACAGTCCTACATGAGGACTTTGTGGGAGCCCGACAGTAATCTTTAAAAGGAATTAATTAAGCTTTCTGTTTATTGGAATTCTGCTTAAGTGTATCTCTGCCAGCATTGGGAGCTGGGGGTACGGTGCTTACACAAGTGTACACACACACGCGCGCGCGTGCACACACACACACACGCACACTCCAATAGACACGCGTGTAGACACACAAAAATCCTTGAAAATTAAATGATACCACTACTTGTTAAATAAGAAGGAGTTCTATCTATGGTCATTAAAATAAATTTGAGATTTAATATTTATGCTTAATATAAAGAATAGATTTTTTTAAAATCAAAAAATCTTTTATTTATTTGCTTGGTGTAGGGTTTCCCTACTTGGCTGACTTGTAGTGCTCCTCCGGTTTCAGCCTCCCCAGCACTAGGATTACAGGAGTGCGCCACCACACCTGGTTGGGGGCTGGCCTGGTGCTCTCAGCGTTTTGGGGCTGGTACAGCGTGTGGTCCCTGGGATGGAGCCTAGGTCCTTGCCCTTGCCAGGCAGGGCGCTGAGACTGCTGAGCTATCTTGCCAGCCTATTTCTATATGTTCTTAAACCTATTTTGAAACCCAGAGTGTATAAATTTTTCTTTGGCTTTTTGAGATTTTAATGTATGGCTCATTTTGAATATTAAAAATGTGACCTGCAGAGGCACTGAGGGGGCCTGTTAGCATCTGAAGTCGGAGGCGTGCTGGTGGGCTGCAGCCTGTGTGTGAGGAAGAGGGCTTCCTTCGTCTCTTGTAGAAATTATTCCTAGGATCAGGTTTTCAGGAGGTATTTGGACTTGCCATTGTATACATTTTCAAAATAAACTACATAGAAGGATATTATTCTTATAGTGTAACAGGAGGAGGGTTAAAATCGGGAGCTCGGCCTCCATACATCTTAATTTTTTACTTATTTCCTTGACTCATGGTATTAGAGTGTGCACAGAAGAGTCTCTTAAGCATGTGTTTTATAATGACAACCTTTGAAAAATATTCCTTTATTTTATTTTATTTTTTTTTTTTTTCCGTATTTTAGGGAAGGGTCTACAGGGTGTTCAGGGTCTCACTACTAGATTGGTCCCGTAGTGATCCTCCTGTTTATAGCCTCCCAAGAGCTGGGATTACTGGTGTGTGCCACCATGCCCAGTTTTAATCAATGTCTCAGTGAGCCCCAGGGGTGGGGCGGGCACGGCAGGTCCAGGGGTCGAACCCCAGCCCCTCCGCCTCCTTACAGATGCTTTCAACCACCGAGCTATTTGGCCGGCCCTGAAAAACATTCCTAATCATGTGTGGTACTGACTCATTGAAAACTTGTGTTTGCTGCCTTACTGTTGCCCAGTGGAGCCCATTACCAAGTGCTACCATTCCTGCAGTTTTAAGAACTACCATTTCTCAAGACTGGGCATGATGGTGCACACCTGTAATCCCAGCTCTTGGGAGGCTATAAACAGGCGGATCACCATGAGTTTGATCTAGTAGTGAGACTGTACACCCTATAGACCCTTCCCTAAAATACCCAAAAAAAAAAAAAAAAAAAAAAAGACCATATGAAGACATGGGGAGAGATCACACAGAAGCCAAGGATGGGCCTGGGAAGAAACCTTGATGTCAGGCTTCCAGCCTCCAAAATTGTGAGAAGAGAAATTTTGTGTTTTCAGCCTCTGGTTCTTGGTCACGGGAGCTCTAGCAAACCAAGATGCATGCCTTTTTAGTACATGGTAGCATGTGAATATTTCAAAAGTAAATATTAAATATAAAATAAAAATTTAGAAATGTTGGAAAATAATGATTCACCTCTAAAAGACATTTAAAAGTGAACTATGCATCTTAAGAAAACCAAAAACAAACAAAGAAGTACCATTTCTTAGCTGGCGAAATAGTTCAGAGCACTAAGCGCCTGCTTAGGCAAGCGCAGGGCCTGCGGTTTATCTCTAGCACCACAAGCTGCACCAGCCCTGCCCCTTGGGCTCGCAGAACTGGCCACCAACACAGTGCGGGCATGGCGTATGCCTGTAATTCCAGCACTGGGGAGGCTGAAAGCAGGAAGGTCACTGTGAGTCTGAGCTGTGTACTGAGACCTTGTACCAAATACATTAAAAAAGAAATACTGTTTCTCAACGATTTGTAGCATGTTAGTAAGAAATCAATATATAGTTAATGTTGACGTGAAAAACACATTGCTTTCCTATATGAGAATCATGATTCCTAATAATCTATGCTTGACTTTTTTTTTTCAAGATTTAAAGGAAAATATTTTACCTAATGTGTATATGTCATATCTTCAACTGGGCTAAAAGTCTTCTGATTTCCTACATGTTTTCACGTTCAGTACTGTGGCACTGTTCCTTTTTGGCCCTGTAACCTGGTGTAAAGTTTCTGCTACGCTCCTGTCTGGCATGAGACATATTTCTTCTGTACAGACTGGAGGACGCCGCCACTGGCAGGTGAGTTGTGCCTCGCTTCTCCCCAGTGACCGGAATGTCTTGTGCTCCCAGGCGACGTCCTCGGTCCTTCCATCAGCGGCTTAGCCTCACTGATTCAAATGCCTTACGGCTGCGGGGAACAGAACATGATAAATTTTGCTCCAAATATCTACATTTTGGATTATCTGATGAAAAAGAAACAGCTGACAAGTAACATAAAAGAAAAAGCCCTTTCGTTTATGAGGCAAGGTAAGCATTTTTTTTTTTTTTTTGGATTTTTTTTTTTTAAGGTAAGCATTTAAAAGTATGTTTTTATTTGTACAAAAAGGTCTGTTTTGCTTTGAGGCAGGGCTCACCCGAGGTGTGCATTATTTCAGAATAGAAGGGTTTGTCTAAGTAGGCGGTGGGGGCTCCGTGGTGCTGAAAGGTACCAGCCGTCAGTGCCCTGAGCCTGCTGGGGTGCCTGGCTCGTGCTGGCTCCCAGAGCCGCTGCGTCCTAACGAGGGATCTGAAATGAGAGCTAGAAACCTGAAGGAACGAGCGACCACCTGTTCACTGCACGTTTGGGGAGTATCTCGAGTGCCAGGCTCGGCTCTGTGCCGAACACAGAGGAGGTCGAGCCTTTCCCCTCAAAGAGTTCATTGTCAGTGAAAAGACAGCGGTGTGTGCTGGGGCCTTCTGCATGCAGGTAAGACGCCAGCCAGTGGGGCTCAGAGAGACGTTTGTGTGACAGACCCGCAGGCACCTCGGAAAATGCAGAGGAGAGAGCTTGGTGGTCCAAGACCCGGCCTGGCATATGCGAGGACCCGGGCTTATTCCTCAGTGCTGCATGCTGCGGCAGCCCTGAAACTGGGTGTGGTGGTGTGTGCCTGTGTCCCAGCAATGGGGAGGCTGAGACGGGAGGATCACTACAAGTCCGAGCTGTGTAGCAAGATCCTGTATGAAATAAATAAAAAAATGATTAAAGAAGTAAAATGCTACCCTGGTGGTGACTGTACCCCCCTCCCTGAGAGGTGCAGGCTGACTCAGATGCCAGAACTGCTAGCCACTTGCTAGTAGCAGCAGTTAGCTGTCTGTGTCAGGTGTGTTCTGGTTGTGCCACACGTACTGTCCCAGTGCTCACAGCGAGTGTGAGCACGACGCCGTCTCGTGGAGCTGAGGTGTGGAAGCGGGCCGAGTCTGTCTGGCCCTGTGAGCTGTTGCATACTCTGTCCATCTAACTCATGAGGGCTCGAAGGCGTATATGACATGATTGCAGAAGTCAGCCGGTGTAGCTTACGGGCGCCACTCTTTAATTCCTAAGGTTTTGAAGATTGTTTCAAGTGAATGGTTATGTGCCAGAGGTGTGAGCTGTTCTGCTCAGTTTCCACAGAATTAGACAGCTTGTGTATTTCTGCTCTTTTTTTTTTTTCCAGAACTGGGTATTGAACTCAGACCCTTGGGCTTGCTAGGCAGTATGCTTATTGTACTGAGCCATCTCCCCGGCCCCAGAATTAGACAGCTTGGGACGGATACTATTTTGGTGGGGGCCTCTCTTCTGGGTTTTCTCCTTGTACAGATACCTGTTTCTCCTAAGCTGAAACCTGTTGATAATAGTAATTAGCAACCAGCCCTGCCTAGAAACCTCACACGTGCTTCATTTCATTCTCATGAAAACTGTAGGAGGCGGGTGTTCTTTTTTCCTCTCTCAGCTGAGGGACTTGCGGCCTGGAGGGTGAGTGACCCACTCTGGGAGCCGACTGCTCCATGTGAGTCTGGCTTCTTCCACGGGACGCTGCAGACTTACTCCAGGGTGTGGCTTCCTGCGTTGTGGCTGTATGAGATTTAAAAACTCTTTTCTCCTAAGTTAAGAAACTTCTTTATACGAGTTTATATTATTATATGTAAACATACAAATGCAATTTAATTTTATTCATATTAGTTATCTGTTGATCTTTTTAAAATTTATTTGGTATAGGTTCTTGCTGTGTAGCTCGTAGTGACCCTCTTGTCTCAGCCTCCCCATCAATGGGATCATAGGCATGCGCCACCATTTCTGGCTTCAGGGGCTGGCACGGTGCACTCGTGGTTCCCGGGGCTGGCATAGCATGTAGTACCCGGGATCGAGCCTGGGCCCTTGCTCTTGTCTGGCTGGCGCTTAGACTGCTGAGCTAGCTCCCCAGATCTGTCTGTTCATCTTATATGTGGCAAATGCCTTCTTTTACTTTTGCTTTTAGGAGGTCTTGCTATGTTGCCTAGATTGGACTTGAACTCCTGGGCTGAAATGATCCTTTTGCTCAGGCTCTGGATTAGCTGGGACTATGAACACGTACCACCCTGCCTATTCTGATTTTTTTAAAACCTCACATGTAGTGCATTTTACTATAAAGAGTTTAAAATCTTTTTAGTCAAATCTGGTTTTGTCACATGGGTGCTTAGAAACCCTTTCTCCATGTTAGAGAGTAAGTAATGCCTGTTGTTCATGGAGAGCTTGCCCAGTGAGAGGCACTATACTAAAGGTTTTTCTTTTTTCTTTTCTTTTTCTTTTTTTTGCGGTACCGGGGATTGAACTCAGGACCCTGTGCTTGCCAGGCAAGTACTTATTCTACTGAGCTATCTCCCCAGTCCTTAAAGGTTTTTCATATATCACATGTAATAGTAGAAAGAGATCTATGGGTCATTTGAAGACGGTGGCATTAGAAGCAGATCTTGTCTGATCTTCACTTACTGCCTAGCAGTCACGTAATTGAGCAGTAGTGTTTGTGTCCTCTGGGTTCTAGACTGGAACTGGTTGGCAGAAGTGGCATCTGCTGGTTGACGTGGGAGTCACTGCAGCTAATGCCACAGAGGACCTTTAACCATTTATGACACGTAATTAATGATGAATGAAAGTTGGTGACTGTACTATGATGCTTCATTTATAGACATAATCTAATGAATGCTCCTTGCTAATTGTCTTATCACTTTAAATGCTTGTATGCTTTTGACTGTAGATCTTAAAGATCACTGTAAGACAGTATCTTTTGTATAATCATAATTTTATTTTTATTCCATTTTTTGGGGGGGTTCTAGGGGTGGGACCTGTTTTAGCACATCAGCATTGCCCTTCCTCTATTGCGGGCCTGAGAATAGAAAGTATTTCTACCTTCTTTTTTGTCCTTAAGCTTTTCTATGCCATAATTAGTAGTTTTTTAAGGCAGCAAAAAATTCTAGATGAGTAAGGATGGAAACCGCTGTGGGACGTTAAAGTTGTCCAACCCTGCCTTTACTTTGCTTGCTTTTGAAGGGTGGTGGTATAGTCAGTGCAGTAGTAGCCTCTTGGGTTTCATTTGGGATATGACAGTTCGTATTTTCTGCTTTCTTCTTGAAAAGTACTGGTATTTTACGTTTCCTGTGACACCTAATGTAAAGAATTCTCAACACCAAGAGGCGATGTCTTTTTCCCTTCTCTACCCGTGTTTCCCCAGTATGAAGTCATTATTAGATACTTTCATTAGTGGCACAGATTCCACTGAATGCAAGCTTTTGTGTCCTCAGGTTATCAGAGAGAACTACTGTATCAGAGGGATGATGGCTCTTTCAGTGCTTTTGGAAATAGTGATCCTTCTGGGAGCACTTGGTAAGTGTTTCTGACGGGTACTTCTGGATTGTGGAGTGGGCTTTCACTGGGTCATTGTAGCCACAGAGTGGACAGACATGGCACTGTGTGTAGTATTGGCAGCTGCTCTTCTCACAGTGTGGGCTTAAAAGATACTTATTTACTTAGTTTTGATTTTTTTGAGACAAGGCCTCACTTTGTAGCTGGCCTTGAACTCACTGTGTGACCCAGGCTGGCCTTGAACTTGTGGCAGTCCTCCTGCCTCAGCCTTCCATGTATTGGGATTACAGGCATGTGCCACCACACCTGTCAAAAGATAACTTTTTAAAACTTGATTTTTTTAAAAAAGCATGGTTTGGAAACAACACATGAAGTGATTTTTGGTTAGAAAATGCATATCATAATTCTTTCGTTAGGGGCCGGAGAGATGGCTCAGTGGAATAAGTGCTTCCCTGGCAAGTGCAAGGGCCTGAGTTCAATCCCCGGTTCCGAAAAAAAAAAAAAAAAAAGTATTCATAATTTTTCTGTTTGTGGGAGAAGCAGTGATTAAAAATATGTCATGATAATGGTGGAGTTGCTGAGGAAAACTGGTTGGGGTTAATTTCTGACATGGTTAGGGCAAGGGTTTTATTAATGTGGTCTGTGTGGTCTCTTTAAAGTTGCATTATCTAACAAACAGTGTTGGAATTAAGTAGCAAACATGCGGAGTTCTGTCCTGATTGGAGGCTCTGTGTAGCTACCATCTTCACTTTCACCTTCCAGAGTCAGATTGACCAAAAGTGGCAGTCAGCTTTCCATTACCGTGGAGTTCCAAAGATGCTCAACTTATAAAGAGAAAGCTTGCCCTGAGATCCCGGCCTGGGCCGCTGGCCCCTGGCCCCTGGAGGCCTGCAGTGAGGCAGGAGCTGAGGCAGAGCAGACTGCAGAACCTCATGCCAGAAAGCACCGGAGGCGGAGAGAAGTCAGGGTCCCTGAGCACCTCCTGGGACCCATCCGGTGGTCTGAGGCCTTCCCGCAGGCCGACCCGCAGAGGCCCCCCACCTCCCAGCAGCGCTGTTCTGTGTACCTCAGGGCAGTTAGGATCCGAGCGGGAGTACAAACTATACCTACCAGTCCAGACCAGGAGGGCTGGGGCCCCCAGCGCCTCCTCAGTCCTAGCAGCGTGTGACCCATGGCTTGTTTCTGGCCCGTGCTTGCCGTGTCAGGCGGGTCAGCAGAGCCTGCAGTCTGTGCCTGGAGCCAGCATCTGCCTTTTCAGCAGGGGGCTCCAGCGCACAGCCCTGAAAGCCACGACTGCAGGATCTGGCACTGGCCTTTGGTGCTTTGGGCTCGCTTTGTCCTAGTCAGCAGTGCTCTTGTGGCTGTGCCTCACTCCAAGGGGCCCAGCCCTGACTCCTCTGCATAATCAAAGAAAACGAGCACTGCGTATTGTTGAGGGCCAGTGTTTACCGCACTAAACCTTTTATGAGAACACATCCGCTTCAGATTTTCTCATGTCAGCAGTCAGTATGGATTGCTAAACAGATTTCTTCGTTTCTTTGCTTGACATTCTTTCCATCATCCTGTATGTTCTACATCAGGCTGGTGAACGTTTTCCTGTAAAGGTCAGACACTAAATGCAGCAGACAAACTGAACCAGAAAGAATCTAAGTTGCATAACCTACCTTCTTTCCCTCCTCCCTCCTTCCCTCGTCTATCTTTTTTCCTCTTTTCATCGCTTTTCTCCATTTGGAAATCATTGCTGGGTGTTGGCGGTGGGTTAGGGGTTAGTGCCCAAATGAGCACGCGGGCCAATTCGGCCCACACCGTGCGGTCCTGTGGGACACAGAAACGTCCATTTTCCTCACGTGAAGCCCTGCAGTGTGCGCAGCCTCATCTGTGCCTCGGGCTGAGCAGGAAGTGTGTGGGGTCTCCTTCAGCCACGTTGGAAAGCCTACAGATGAGCAGCCTTGGGCAATTTATTTAACTCTTGGAGCATCACATTTCCTGTCTGTAAGAGAATGGGGCTTAGATGATTTCTAACTTCCTGCCTTGCCTGAGCGCCTAGCCAGGCTCGGGTGGCACCAGACCACCTGCCAGGCCGGCTGCCGGGTTGCAGTCCAGACTCTACCTGTGGTGAGTTTTCTGATGGGGAAATTTTCGCTTGGTGTCAATTTGGAGTGTATTTTATAATGAGTATTTTATGTATTTCTCTCCCTTTCACCAAGGTTGTCAGCTTTTGTTTTACGATGTTTCCTTGAAGCCGATCCTTACATAGACATTGATCAGAATGTGCTACACAAAACGTATAGCTGGCTGAAAGGACACCAGAAATCCAGTGGTGAATTTTGGGAGCCAGGAAGAGTGATCCATAGTGAACTTCAGGGTGGCAGTAAAGGTCCAGTGATGCTCACAGCCTATATTGTGACTTCTCTCCTGGGATACAGAAAATATCAGGTACTGTTATGGTGAGAGGAAGGATGAGTTTTCAGAGTTGGAGAACGGTATCGAGTAGTTTCTTCAGAAATGGCTGCCAATCAAAAGTGCTGCAGGTCCGTCTTGCCTGGAATATGGACTTTGATGAGGCCAGAATGGTGCCGCACATTTATCTGAACAGCGAGGGCTGAAAGGGTTTGGGAGAAACCAGCTCTGTAGAGCGAACTTGGGCTGATGAAAGAAAAAGGGTAAAAGCAAAAATGAAAGCGCACACCCCATTGGGGCTGTCCTGGAAACTCGGGGTTTCTCTGATGGCCGCTCCTCTCTTACGCTGTCCACTTCTCACGGGAGCTCGCGAGAAATTCTGCATACCGGGGTCCTCGCGTTGCCCTGGGAGCTTGTGATTGATAGGCCGCGCTGATCCCCTGCCCCCACCAGCTTTGCCACACCCTGTATCCCTTGGCAAGGATGTGTTTCTTCAAGTTGAGGTGTATTTTTATTTTTTATTTTTATTTTTTATTTATTTATTTTTAATTTTTCCATAATTTTATTGATAAACAAATAGCAATGAGATAGTTTCAAATCAAATTGGTAGGACAGTTTCAATAATTAACACATTGCATACATTCTTCCTACTGGTTAATTGCTGTACAAGATGTGGACATAATATCCTATTTACAAACACCATTAGAACAAATCACTCTATACATTAAGAGAATGTAACTATATATCTATCCTAACCACTTTGAATACACAGATCCAAAATGGACATATATCTGTGTACCCTTTTTTTGTTAAGTTCCATTATTTGAATTTTATAGGTGTGTAAACTCAGCAAAATATTCTAAAAGAGTCCAATAGCCCATAATAGTATTGGGTCTTCCGCTTGACTAGCAATTTATTTTTTTTTTTAACATTTCAAAGGTATCTTAGAACAATTGCAGTGTCTTCCTAATTCAGTGCAAAGTTTTTGCACTCTCTGCAAAGCCAGTTACCTGGGCCTCGGTGCGGAGGTAAAGATGAGTGTCTGTGGGAAGTTACACCCACGACCCCCACGTCCTCCAGAGCTGTCCGTGTCTGGTATCCTACTGTGTACCTTGGCTGTGTGTCCCAGGGCCAGCCTCCAGCCATCTCCTGCTCTTTAGCTAGCCCAGTACTGGCTCACAGAAGGTGAACTTTTCTCTAAATTTAGAGTTTGAATGTCAGAGATTAAAGATGAGAAACTTTTTTCTAAAGCTAATTTTCTGCTTTCATTGGAGTTAATGGTACCTAATGGGATAAAAAATGGCAAAATCTATACTTTTATTCTTTATTCTATCTGAAGAACGGGCTCTTTCATTATATCTGAAAAATAGTATGGCTTTCAAAATGCATGGCAGTTCTTTATCAGTGTGTATTGTTAATTTCTATTGCGAAGGGCTAGGTCGGTGCTTATCAGACACTGAAATTACTTTTTGAGAGTTTTTTTTTTTTTTTTTATACAGGAATCGAACCCAGCACCTTGTGCTTGCTGGGCAGGTGCTTTTGCTGCTGAGCCATCTCCCTGGCCCTATTCTTTTTTTTTTTTTTTTTTTGTGGTACCAGGGATTGAACTCAGGATCTTTCACTTGCCAGGCAAGCACTTACTCTACTGAGTTATCTCCCTGACCCCATTATTTTTTGAATGAGTGTTTAGAGTATCTTTTATTTTAATCTGAGCTCATGGGTTATTTTGAGTAATAAAATATGTATCTTTTTCTTTCAAGCCTAATATTGATGTGCGAGACTCTGTCAACTTTTTGGAGTCTGAGTTCAGTCGAGGAATCTTTGACAACTACACTCTAGCTCTTGTCACGTATGCACTGTCCTCAGTGGGCAGTCCTAAGGCCAAGGAGGCTCTGGTGGAGCTCAACCGGCGTGCAGAGGAGGAAGGTAAGGGAGGCCGGCAGGGGCTGCTGGGCTCTTCAGGGACACGCGTGAGCAGGGATGAGGTTGCGCGTAGCCCAGCTTTGGAAGGAGCTGAGAAATGGGTGTGGGTGGAGATCAGGAGTGGTGAGGGGCTCTGATGCCTGAGCTCCCCAGGGGTCTTGTCCAGAAGTGCTGCCTAGGAGTCCCTTCCTTGAAGGTGTATCCCACTCCATGTAGCAAGTCTGAGTTTCTCATGCATTTGGACTCAAGAGTCGTTTGGGCTCCCTGGGACCCCGGGTCCTGGAGGACGTGGGTTCTGGTTCTGCTTCTGCAACTTGTGTTAGTGAGCTTCAGTTTCCCTGTCAAGCAGAATAGCGCCTATGTTAGAGTAGCTGTGAGAATTGAGTAAGATCACATGCAGAAGCTGCCTTGTGGCAAGCACTCAAAAATAGGATCAAAGTGTAAATACCAAAAAGTTCTGCTACCAAATATGGTAGGTCATATGTGTGCATCTTTTGGGGGGGGGCTGGGAACTGCTTTTGTGTTATAAAAGGGCAAAAAGCATGGGTATAGCTGTTCCCAAAGTATCTCCGTAAAGGTCCAGGGGGTGTGTGTGGGTGTGGGTGTGGGTGTGAGACAGAGAAAGGCTTTAGATGATGTCTTCTGATTCAGAGTTTTGTTCATTCAAAAGGGGTGATTGTAGAGAGTGCTTGGAGGCGTGAAGTTATTGGAAGTATTATATTAATATTAACGGGAATGTAGACAGGATCCTTATCCATATCCCTTGCTGAAGACTGGATGGTGACTGCAGAAGCCGAGGTGATCCTTGGCATTGTGGGACATCATGTTGTGTCCAGACACCATCCAAGTCCTGGGATGCCACCTGGGATGGTGGTTTGGGGCCAGAGCAGGAGTGTGTCCCGGAAGGTTGGTGACTTGGCAGGAGAGGAGTGCTGGGCGTTTTGCACTTCTTTGTCAGCTTTCAGACAGTGGAAATAGGAGCAGTGTCCCAGAACGTGAGAGCTGGGTCGTGGTTGTGGCAGAGCTAAGGACAGGGTTCTTTCCCACGTGTCCTAAACTATGTTGGGGAGGACCGGCCTAGAGCTATCTCCCCGCGGGAAAAATGTTTTAATTAAAACATTCTCAAATACAGGCAATAGGAAGAGGATGAAAATTTGTAAGTTGTACTATGGGAAGTGACATGCACATAAGTGAATGTTCCCATGCATGTGTGCGTACATGTGAATACTCATGTCCTTGCTTGGCGTACACATATGCATGTGTGCACAGATAAAATGCATTTCCACGCAAGTCCAGGAGAGCGTGGCCATGTGGGGCTGTGTACTGTTGCTGAATGCTGTTCCCTTTCTCCTTCAGGAGGTGAGCGGTTCTGGGTGTCGCCCGCATCCACCCTGTCCCAGGGCTGGCAGCCACGCTCCCTGGACATCGAGGTGGCAGCTTATGCACTACTGTCCCACTTCCTGCAGCTGCAGGCTCCCGAGGGCCTCCCTGTTATGAAGTGGCTCAGCAAGCAGAGGAACAGCCTTGGAGGGTTTGCGTCCACCCAGGTGAGAGATGCAGTCGGCCTTCCCACTCACGTTCATGGAGTTGTAGGAATTCTCTCTATACTTTTTATGACTTTATAAAGTTAGCAGTTTATAACTTGGGTGACTTAAAGAATTAAGGCGATAATCTCATTTTTTCTCATATGAATTCCTGGCTGATCCTCACGTAGTCAGCCAGTCCCCGTGTGTGGTAGCTGCGGGGGGGCACTGTGGGCTTGCTGTAAAGTGGATGCTCTGGCCGCACACGGATGCCTCGGAGCTTTTCTCTGAGGATTTCTGGGCCTTCAGGAAGGGTCTGCCCTCAAGGTGGTGCGCGTGGAGCTGGTCCTGGACGTTGCGGAGCTTGCTCCTAAGAGACCTCAGCTGCCCTGTGTGCACACCTGGCTTTCTTCTCTTGACAGGATACTGTTGTGGCCTTAAAAGCCTTGTCCGAATTTGCGGTCCTGATGAGTACAGAAACTACAGGTGTGCGAGTGACGGTGCTGGGGCCCAGCTCGCCGCGGCCTGTGAAGTTTCTGATTGACACACAGAACCGCTTTCTCCTTCAAACAGCAGAGGTGTGGAAAATGATTGTTATATAAAATCCTACGTGGGTGGGTCTTTGTACTGGAATCCTTCCTCTTTCTCCCTTTTTCCCTCAGTACTGGGGATTGAACTTGTGATCTTCCTGCCTCAGCCTCCTGGAGTACTTGGAACACTGCCTTCTTTCTAATCTATTGACTTTGACAGAGACTTGTTCTCAGGGCTGTAGAGAGACAGGCAGGGAGGGCAGGACAGTATCCTCAGGTGGGTTTGCCCCTCTCAGGATGGTGCAGGAGGTGGAGTGTGGTGAAGACCGGTGAACAGGAGAAGACGTGGGCGCGTTCCTGTCAATGGAATAGACGCCCTGCGCTCTGGTTCTTCATAGCCGCTGTGCTGGGTTGCTTTTCAGGAGTTAATTCACCTCTCCAGCCAGCTCTGAGTCACGTGCTTTTGTCACTGCTGTGTATGTGAACTGAGGCTGAGAGAGGCAGGAACGCGGGCAGGGTCATGCTTGGGAGCGCCGAGAGTTGAGCTCACAACACCAAAGGCTTTATTTTTTATTTTTTAAGCTGCTCCACATACCCTGAAAAAAACTGATAGAAGCAGTAGTAGAATTCTTGCTTTAAAGTGGAGTAAGTGAATAGGCTTGCCCCTACCTTTATTCTCTTAGCTAACCTTGGGGGAAGTGAGGCAGTGGATGAAGGTGACGATATGAAGGCTTGAGACTGAGGAAGAGGGTGATGGCAAAGCACGGGGAGGAGGAGCCAGGCACAGTCCTGAGGTGCTGCCCCGTGTTCCACAAGGACCGAGGCCCGCCCCAATGAGGGAAGCTGGGGGAGTGTGTGCTTCTGTCTTGTGCCCCTCATGCTGTGGCCATAGTAGGGGACAGCGGTGAGTGGCTCCCAGGGGTGGAGGTGAGCCGGCTTGGAGAGGCCACGCTTCAGCTCTCACATCTCTTACGTCTCTTGGCTGCTTGGCCCGTCGCCCAGACCTGCAGGAGCACCGGAGCTCCAGGCAGAGCTCACTGCAGGCTGCTCCCCCGGTGAGGGTGACCCTGTTCTCTTGTGCTACTTGGGAGGATCTAAACGTGGAAAACTGCCCTGTTCACTCTTCTCTCCCCTTTTATTCAGCTTGCTGTGGGACAGCCAACTGCAGTTAATATAACCGCAAATGGTTTTGGATTTGCTATCTGTCAGGTACGTAAGGGTGCTTGTTTTTTCAGTAATATTTGACTTTTTATAATAATTCTTTGTTTTAGGGCAGTGCTACATCTGTGTCTTAGACAATTTATATAAAATCCTAAGTGATGTACTTCATGACAGAGGTGAGATATATCATACGCTTTAGTAAGAAGTACTGGCTGCGCTGGGCGTGGTGGTCACGCCTGTAGTCCCAGCACTCGGGGCTGAGACAGGAGTTTGAGGCCCACCTGGGCGTACCTAGTGAGACCCTGTCTCAACAGCAACAGCAGTTATAACAAAAGTATTAGAGATCATACCAGCTGGTGAGTAAGCAGCAGTCATGTGTACTGATAATCTATTTGAAAATACTTGGGGAAAGAGGATTCACTTTTTGAAGTGAGGGTTGAAATCCTCCAATATGATTCACGTGAATAGATGAGAATTGTCACTTTTTTGTGTAAAGATGAGTTCAGAAATTATAATGCCTGTAGAGTTCTTAATATTACCTGAAAGGCAAATACATATTTTCCTTATAAGTTCTTAATATTTATCTAAGAATATAAATACTGGCATAACACTTAGTGGAAGTGTGTTCTTTTAATGTGAACCTTTATAAGATAGAAGATCAAATAGCATAAGAATGTGTTAAATGCTATGGTACGGGAGGAAAATCCAAAGGAAACAACGTTTTATGATATAGTAAGAGCTGCAATAAAAGTCTATTATTATTGTTGTTGTTGTTGTTATTATTTTGTCTTTTTGAGACAGGGTATTGCTGTGTAGCTCAGGCTGGGTTTGAACTTACTTTGAAGTCCAGACTGGTTTCAAACTTGCAGCGTTCCTCCTGCCTCAGCCTCCAAGTTTTGGGATAACAGGCGTGCACCACCACCACTGGGTAGAAGTAGTATAAAAGCGCTAGCTGAAATAATCATCTTACTGGAAATCCAAAATAGAATGTGATAGGACCAGAAATGGTTATGTACATGGGTATTAAAAACAAAACAAAAAACTAAACAAACTTGGAAACACTGACTTGGAAAGGACCGAAATGGCTGCTGTAGAGAAGGGGCCCTTCTCCGGCTGGGTCCACTTCTTCCAGCTGAGAAACCGGTGCCTTGCCAGGGCAGGTATGCCTTGCTAAGCAAGTCTAGTTGAGAAGCTTCCAAGTAATTCTGACTGTTTTGCATGATGTGTGTGTGTGTGTGTGTGTGTGTGTGTGTGTGTGTGTGCACGTGTGCGTGCTGGGGCTCAAACTTAGGACCTTAGGCTTGCCAGGTAGGTGCTTATGCCACTGAGCTGTCTCCCCACCCTGCATGATATTCAGATAATGGTAAATACTTTTAAACATCACAGAAAATGATAATACTGAAAATGAAGGGGATTCTGTGAAAAGGATGGAAGGAGGGAACATTTTGTTTTGGTTTTTATTAACAAAGACTGCGGAAGAAATTATCATCTCCAGGCTTTTAATGAAGAGAAAACCCAAAAGTAAAGTACACAGTGTACTTTAAACAGAACTGAAAAATCATCTATATGTACCTCATCAAATTGGCCAGAATTCATTTTTGATAAACCAAATGTAGATCAGTCACTGAAAGTAAGTGATTGTTGTGTGGGATTTGAAGGCTACTGGGGTAAATGTGGTACCCACGGGTCAGAGTGCATACAGATCCCAGGTTTGCAGTGAAATGCAGAGAACAGAAGGATCAACAGGCACTTACTTCTCACCATGGAGGAAAGAATTGCAAAAATGCTTGTCATCCAGAAATGGGTAATGAGTTTTCCTTAGGGTGGTATTTTTTATAAATATGTGGGGGAAAGTAGGGCAAAGAATGCTCAGATTTGCAGTAAATGTTAAACTCTTCTGGGTAATAAATGTGAAGCCGTTGACAGTGGGCCCTAAGATCTCTTAAGGTTCTGTGACAGAAGCTGAGCGTTACGGCAGGCTGCATGTTAACCTATCGCTTAGTTGTGGACGGGTTCTGATTTTGACCCGAGGGACAAACTCATTTTGTTAGAAAGGAGATGATGACAGTAACGGAGGTTATACTTCAGTTTTATGAAACTATTCTCCAGCTGCCTTGGGAGTAGTTTAAATTATTTCTAAAATTAATTATTAATTTCACCTGTCTAAGAGCTGGAGAGTGTCCACTAGTGAGGTGAGCAGAACGATCTAGGGAATGAAAGGTAATACGAATGTGGAGTGTGGCAGAGTGTGACGATCAGAGCTCTTTCATTGAGTTCCAGGGGATTTGTAAGAGTCTGTACATGTGGGAAAGGTGCTGGATGTTTACTTCTGCGGGGTGTGTGTGTGTGTGTGTGTGTGTGTGTGTGTGTGTGTGTTTTAAGTACAAGAAAGCAAACCAATGTTATATAGCAATTTTAACTTTAAGCACCTTGGCATCAAAAAAGTAGATGAGGTAAGGTCTTTGCATAGATCCTGCCCCTCCTTGGGATGAGGCTGGCCAGGAGGACCTGGCTACACCCACGCTTCTGGTCAAGGCTTGCCCTGAGCCACCTGGCATTCCCGGGACCTGCTGTGTCCCCTCCCCACATCCGTGTGACAGGCGGTGTGTGCGGGAGAAGCCAGCTGACTCAGAAGCCATCCTTTCCTTAGCACCTTGCAGAGCATTCGGTGGTGCCGAAGACTCCTCCGCAGTCGATCTTTAGTTTTGATTTATTTTACAGAAAGCCTCTTAAGGCTCCGGCCAGGCGAAAATCACATCGGTGGGGGAGCTTGGAGCTTGGAGCTTACAGCTTGCCTGTGCCGAAGTTGCCGGTCACTTCCCTTTCCCCTTGAGGGCTGTGTTTTATGTTGCCTGTAGCAACAAGCTGGGCATGGTGGCGCATGTCTGTGATCCTGGCACTGACTGGGGAGGCTGAGGCAGGAGGGTGGCTGTGGGTTCGAGGCCAGCCATAACTACATAGTGAGAGCTTGTCTCCAAAAGAAAACACAACCCCCCCACCAAACAACATCCTGTGAATATCTGCTACAGCATCCCTGATACTTCTTAGAACGTTGCATACCAATTTTCTCAATTTTAAAAATAATTTTTGGTAAACTTTACAGTGTTTTTTAAAAGTGATATGTGTATATATATCTATATATAGATATAGATACATATATATCTATCTATATCTATATATAGATATATATATATATCTATATAACTTTGAAGATTATAAATCCAGTTGGGCTGGAGAGATAGCTCAGGGGCACAGTGCCTACCTGGCAAGTGTAAGGTCCTGAGTTTGATTCCCATTGCAGTTAAAATCATTGGCTAATATTTAGGCAGCACAGTGGTGGCAATTTATTGTTAGTAATTTCTTGCTGATTTATTTGTGTTAATTTTTTGTTTATTGCAGCTCAACGTTATTTATAATGTGATAGATTCAGGGCCTACTAGAAGACGAAGATCAGCCCAAAATCAAGAAGCCTTTGATTTAGATGTTAATGCAAAAGACGACAGGAGTGACAGCAGCCGAATGAATTTGAATGTGTGTACAAGGTAGAGGCCTCCTCTTTCCTCTTTAAAAGATTTGAGGATTTAATTATTGTCACCCTCAGACTGTAATTAATGGTCATGTTTAGGAATAAATTTAGTTTTGGATTATACTTCATCTGTGGACTAGAAGTACTATTATATTTAAGCATTTTTGCAACATGCCTCAAAATTACAAATTTTCTCATGTATATTATAAATTTAAATAGAAAAATGTAGAAATTGATAAAACTCAAGTCTAACTTCGGAAAACATAACTGCTCATCTTTAATATTCCAAAATGGATTTTTTATGAGTTACTTTTGTCATCAGTTTGCATGCTGGGCACCATGCCACATGCTGCATGTGCGTCTCCTTCACGCCGATCTGTAGAGTAGGGGCTGCGTCCTGGCCTTCTCCTCCATGCATCCACGTACAGGAAGTGTGACGAGGCCTGATTGCGTGTGGGTGTGCTGAGTGGCAAGCTAGAGAAGGCCGGCCTACTCTCGTGGAGGTCTCTGCTGAGAGTGGGAGACTGGGGTTCATTTAAAAAATCCTTAGGAAGTACAAAATTCCGGCTTTGAAAAGTTCAGGAAACAACAGCGTCATGGAACTGTGAGGGCGTATTTCATTTCTTTTGTTTTTTCTTAATGTATTTGGTACAGGGTCTTGCTCTGCAGCTCAGACTTGGAGTGATCCTCCTGTTTTCAGCCTCCCCAGCACTGGGATTACAGGCGTGCACCACCAGGCCTGGACTCTGCGGCCAGCTCAGCCCGCCTGGGAGCAGAGCCAGCTAGGCTTGTGGTGCCAGGTCGTCCCTGCGCTTGCCTAAGCAGGTGCTGATCACCGAGCTGTCTCACCACCCCTCATATTTTACTTCTCAGGAGATCAAGTGGCGAAGCAGCTGGGGAAGCTGGGGTAGGACCAGGGCCAGGCTGTGCAGAGGCCTCTGCGTGGGCTCCTGGAGCAGCGCAGGTTCCTAGCCAGCTTTGGAGTTAGGTGGGCCACACGCTGATGTTGGGACAGAAACTAAGAAATGCCTTCCTTGACAGTAGAGACTATATGAGAGTTTTAAATGCTACTACTAGTTTCCTGAGGAAAATCTGATATCAAACACAAATTCACATTGAGTATTTTTTTTTTTTTCTTTTTAGTGACACTTTATAAAAAGATTGCCTAGTATTTCAGGCACTGTCTTCCCATTAGCAGGGTCCAAGGCTGGACCTAGACACTGCTTTCTGCGTGTGATGCGTTTGCTGAATGCTGCCCTTGGCGAGGGCAGTAGTGCTTTGTGTGCCTCTGGCCAGCCAAGGCACTTTGCTGACGGACGGACGGATGACAGTCTGCACCATGCTGTTTACTCTTCTAGTAGACGGCTCTTCTCTCACCTGCGACTTTTGCTGTCATGTGGACGCCCTCCCCTCAGTCCAGTTGTTAGCTCACAGTGTGTCTTCTTCTGGCTGCATGTGTCCCTGGCACATGCACCCCATTGCTTAAGATTGCTGAGCCACTGAAGGTGGCAGGGGTTACACCATGCGGCGTCTCAGCCAGTCGTGGTTGGCAGGCCTCTGCTACTACTCTCTAAGTAGGACTTTCTGACAGCAGGGCAAACAAGATAGCTCGGTGGACCAAGCTCCTGCTTAGGCATGCACAGGGACCAGGGTTCGATCCCCAGCACCATATGCCATGCTGGCCCCACCCCCAGGTGACTGAGTGGCCGTGGTGTCTCACACCTGCAATCCCAGAGCTGGGGAGGCTGAAAATAGGAGGATCACTACGAGTCCGAGCTGTGCAGTGAGACCTGTACCAAATACATTAAAAAAAAAATTACAGCAGCCCCTCTTGATTTTATTGTCTACAAGGACAATAGGAAATAACACAACAAGCCTTTTATATTGGAAGCCAACTTCTTCCTGTAGTCATGCAGGGCTCTTGCCACTCATTTATTTTGGGAAAAAATATTTCTTTTCAAGGAGACAAAATGATATTAGTGCACAAGTTGTCGTGGTGACAGAGGGCCACCGTGCAGAGCCACTTCCAAGCCTCTAGTTTTCTCAGGGGACCAAAGAAGACACAACATGTGTTCCAGGCCAGTGGGAGAAGAAAGGGAACCCTCTCCCTTGTCATCTTTTTTCCCTAAAACCAGGTGGAGAAAACATTGCTAATGACTTGGCCTGGCCCCTCACTGGCCAAGTGATCCCTCTTTCCCAGCTTCTGGCTTTCAGCTGAAAAGTTTGGTGCTGTTAGCTTTTGAAAAAATGAAAAATGTGGTTTGTTTTGGAGTCACCACTACAAAGCACCTGGCATTTGCTGTACCTGTCACAGTGCATCAGCATGGCCTGCTGCATTGTGGGCATTTCAGCCTGTCCTCCCTGAGCTCCACTGTGACGTGGCCCATTTCTCATGTGGCTGCAAAATGACTGTCACATGCGTGGGAAGAGGAAAACTTGTCATCAGATTTTCTTCACTGAATTTGTTTTTGTTTTTGTTTTTTTGGCGGAACCAGGGATTGAACTCAGAGCCTTGTGCTTGCCAGGGAAGCACTTATTCTACTGAGCCATCTTCTTGGCCCCCTCTTCAGTGAATTTGATTCACGGTCAAGCAGTGTTTGGGATAATGTTTGGCCATTTTAATTCTGCACCAAGATCATTTGCTCACCACTTCAGTGTCTTCTAACGGGCATCTTCCCTTCCTCCTCCCTGGGGTTTAGGTTTCTGGGCCCAGAAAGAAGCGGCATGGCGCTCATGGAAGTTAACCTCCTCAGCGGCTTCACTGTGCCGCCAGACGCAGTTCCTCTGAGTGAGACGCTGAGGAAAGTGGAGCAGGACCACGGGAAGCTCAGCCTTTACTTAGATTCTGTGAGTAGTAGCAGGAAGTCGCCTGAAGTCGCCTGAAGCCGCGCTAGCTATGCTCAGAGGTCTGCTTCCCTGTGCTCTCGTCCAGTCAGCGTTGCCAGGCTTTTGTGTCCCCAGTGATTTTGCCATGGCAGCTGTGTCTGGAATGACAGCACTGTAAAATTGGATTAGAGAGAGTTACTGTTCATCACGAGCCAGAGGAGAGTCTTGATAACTAAGTCCTAATTTCACACCAGGTATGGAATAAGGTTTTTTTTTTTTTCCTCGAATGCCTTCAGGGCACTTTTGGCCAGCTGGAGAGGTGTGAGGTTCCAACTCCAGCAACCTGAGTCTGACAGCTTTGTGGAAGCAGCCACTTAAAGGCCTGAGCTAGGGCCAGGCCCCCTCACACCAGGTATAAAACGTACAGCAACTGCCATTTCATAGTTTAAGATTGGTGCAGATAGTTTGAAAGTCCCTTTCTCAGGAAATTGCTGAGTTTATTTGCTTAAATGCTAACGATGAAAGCTGTAATGACTTGCTTTAAGATGCTTTCATGAAATTTTGAACATATCTTCAAATTGTTAATATTCCTGTCATGAGAAGTTAGGTGTTTATTTTATTTTTTATAAGTTAGGTGTTTAAATCATAGAAGAATATTCTAGACTCTTGGTCTCCAGAAACACTTATTGTGTAGCCTTCACGTACCTGCCCCATTTCTGAAATACTGCCCGTGATACGGGAGTGGGCGTGTAGCGTGTGTCAGGGAAGGGTCCATGAAGAGCCGCACCCTGCACCCATTATGTCCTCAGCCTGCCTGCGTGTGAGTTTGTGACTCCCTCCAGCATCTGTATGAAAATCCTTAGGCTGAGTTGCAGTTGAATTCCAAGTGTTGAGGATTTCATGGTCCACGAGGAGGGTGTGTATGTTTCTTATCCCAGTTTTGCTAAATTTGGGTTAGCAATATACTGCCAATGTTTTACCTTTAAAAAGCTAGAACCTGAGTGTTCTTATTTATTTTAGCACTTCAAAGCACTCCTGGTTAAAGGCCTATTGAAACTAATTCAGTTTTTTGATTCTTTTGCTGTTTAGAATTTCCTTAAATTAAATACTATTTCAAAGCCATGGCCTTGATTTGGAACTCGAAAAACAAATTTAAGGTTTTTATTTAGCAGCGTAACTGCCTCCGAGTTGGCCTTGCTTCTGATAGCTCTTGCTCATGGTTCTCTTGAGTGTGCAGAGAACTCTGGTAAGTCTGGCTTTGCTGGCAAGGAGCGAATGTTTGAAGAGATTCACAAATTTTTGATTCCGTAAGTGATCCTGAATACACATTGACATAAACTGCCCCAGGGAGCCGGGGAGGCTGCTCCAGGTTCCTCAGGGTGCACTCCCAACTCCAGGCCACCTTCCTTGCAGGGAAGGCTGCTCCTAAGAGCAAGTCCCCCCAGAAGTGGCTCTGCTGTGCCCTGCCAGTGGCTGGAGGCTGGGCTTACCGCCTGAGGCAGGATTGGGGAGGCACCGCTATCCCAGGAGCACGCACCTCTGGGTTCGTGGTTTACTTAGTAACTGATTCTCATATCCTTTTAGCAGAATGGATCTAAGAACAGTACCTATGTTACAAGGGTTGTTTGGCAGGTTAAAATAAGGTAATTTGTAGAAAATATTTACTGCAGTACCTGATGCATAGGTGTCTTCCCTAATTGTTTGATTCTAAGAAAAGGAAATGTGTTTTACTTTTATTATGAAAACATGGCATACAAACTCCCAGAGAATCATTTGTATTTTTTTCCAGGTCAATGAAACACAGTTTTGTGTTGATATTCCTGCTGTGAGAAGCTTTAAAGTTTCAAATACACAAGATGCTTCAGTATCCATACTGGATTATTATGAACCAAGTAAGTGTGGTCAAGAGTTCCTGGTACTTAGGAAGTTAAACCAGGCATCCATTTATCCAGCCAGCCATTGGATTATTGTTGTTATTCATGTTTCTGAGACAGTGTTTCACTGTGCACTTCAGACTGGCCTTGAACTCATTTTTAGCCCAGGCCGGTCTTAAATGCGCAGCCTCCTGAGTGCTTGAGTCAGCCTCCTGAGTGCTGTGATTACGGATGTGTGCCATCGCACCTGGCCTTACTATTATTTTTTAATTGAGTTTCACTTGTGGTTTGGCTGAGTTTTATGGGGCAGTGGATAGGGGACAGTGTTTAAAGGAAGACTGTAGATCCATTTATGAAGGTCACGTGATAGCAGTTAGCATACAGATGTTAAAAACTGACAGTTTGCTCATGATGCTTTTAGGATCCTACTCACAACTCATGCCTGAGAAGTTGGCATGGCGAACCCCGTTACATGTCCCTCTGGGTCCTGCTGCCAAGTGGGAGGTCGGGGGAGCCGGGTAGCTTCTGTCATGCAGAAGGGCAGGAGCAGGTCGCTGGAGGAGCCCCGTGCTGCTGACCCCCACCCACACTGTGACAGGTGTTGCTTTAGTGTGTCAAGAAGTAGTCTTTTAGGGTAATTTAAGCTTCCTGATTTGCCTAGTAGCTTATTTTATGAAAGGATAAGAACTTAGGCAGGGCATAGTGGCACATACCTGTAATCCCAGCACTCTGGAGGCTGAGGCAGGAG